ACTGAAACCCCCTGAACCCTAAACCCGAAACCCCAAACCCTAAACCCCAAGCAGCCCAACGCAACCCTCAGCGCGAAGAAGCCCGAAGTAAGAACTTGCATGATGCATTCCCAAACCCGAAACCCAAAACCCAAAACCCAAAACCCTAAACCCTAAACCCTAAACCCTAAACCCCAAACCCTAAACCCCAAGGGTCTACAGGGTCGAGGAGCCTCCAGTGTCAGGCCGAGCGCTGCAGCTGTGTGGATTTGGGCTTTAGGTTGGGGTTTAGGGGTTAAAAGGGTTAAGGGTGAAGGGTTAAGGGTTAAGGGTTTAGGGTTTAGGGTTTAGGGTTTACGGTTTAGGGTCGCTGCGCAATGAGTTGAGTTTCAAGTTTGCTGCTGTCTTGTGAAGATCTTAAGATTCCAGCTTGCCGGCATACATCCAAAGCCCGTGCTCAAAAAGGGTTTAGGGCGTTTTTTGGGGCTTCGGGATTTGAGGGTTTGGGCTTGAAGGGCTTCGCTTCCTTAAGTTTAGGGCGGGGGAGAGGGCTCTCAGGTCGTTTCGGAGGTTCGTTGGGTTTCAGCTCAGAGCTCCTCAAAACTTCCTCGCACTTCGGCAAGGGGCAAAGGGTTTACTTGGAGGTTCAATGGGTAGTTGTAAGTGGGTTACAAGTATGCAAACCATACCAACAACCCTGCTTATACAAGGACACAGAGTAGGCCCTTGTGCCCTAGGGAACCTAGTAAACCCCTTTAAACCAAAAAGGGTACCGTTTTTTATTCCTAGGATACTCTTGGGTCTAGTATAACTACCCATGAACCTCCAAGTATGGAGTAGGCCCACGTGTGGAGTTTCAAGCTTTGGCTGGCAGGCACAAGTTGCCAACACGCACGGGGCTGTTGACTTGTGGGGGGAACATACAAAAGATCCCTTGTCCATAAGCGAATACACCATGTGCTCGCCAATCCCAGGTTGAAGGCATGATTTCTATGCCCAAGCTGCCTCCTCCAGCCTGCTTGCTCTGCGGGCCCACGAAAACCCCAAAACCCAAAACCCAAAACCCCAAAACCCTAAACCCTAAACCCCTTACCTCTGAACCCTAAACCCTACTTCCTCATCCCGAAGAAAGACAGGCCATGCCACCGAGGAGCAGGCGCTGCGCATGCGCCTCCGGCCGCACGCAAGGGCACCTTTCTCATTGTGTATGCTTTCCAGATGTTTATGTGTTTATCTGTGTATATGTTAAGTTTAGATGTTTATATGTTTAGTTTATCTGCTTTCATGTTAAGTCTAGATGTTTATATGTTAAGTTTATCTGTTTATATGTTACGTTTAGATGTTTATATGTTAAGTTTAGATGTTTGTGTGTTCATGCGTATTGTGCGCAGTGTCCTCAATCAACCATGGGACCTAAACCCTGCACCTGCAGACATATACGTATGTATATATGTATATATGTATATATGTATATATGTATGTATGCATGTATGTATGTATGTATCTATGTATGTATGTATGTATGTATGTATGTATGTATGTATGTATGTATGTATGCATGTATGTATGTACACACATGTACATTCTGGCGCCTTGCGGCAAGAGACGATTAAGCTTCTTTTGTCCGGCTGGGCAGCTCCACCGCCTGCGGACGGGCTGGGAGCAGCTGAAGCCCAGAGGACCGCCAGCTGGCCACCAAAGAGGCTCTCGGTTAGGGTTTGTGGTGTAGGGTTTAGGGTTCAGGGTTCAGGGTTTTTGGGGGAAGAAGGATTTAGGGTTTTCAGGGTTTTGGGGTTTTAGGGTCACAAGGGTTTTAGGGTTTGAGGGTTTAAGGTTTGGGGTGTTCTAGGCTGACTTGGCTCTTAGATAGCCCCGCGACTGGCAGTGGCTGAGGCTTCAGGGCCTGGACTACTTGGAGGATGTTGAGGCGGGAGGGTTCCACAAACCTATGCTCCCCGAAACCCCAAACCCCCTACCCCAAGCTCCTTTCACCCTCTAAACGCCCCAAGCCCCTCCGCCCAAGCCCCCCCCCCCCCCCCCCGCACAAAGGCACTTCGAAGCTTGAGGTGGTGGTTTAGCTGCGACTAGGCTTCTCCTTGAGGCGGTAGGGAGTCTTTTCCGACCAGCCCAAGCAACTGAGTTTGGGGTTCGGGTGCTCGTGGCCTTCAGGCCCGAAGCTTCTATCACGTGGCCGTGGGAGCCTGAACCCTAAACCCTAAACCCTAAACCCTAAACCCTAAACCCTAAACCCGTAGCCATTTTGGCTCAAGCCATTTTGGCTCAAGGTTCAAGGACCTCCCCAAAACCCGTTTTGCAGCAGGCATGGAAGGGACGCCCGAACATGTTCAGGCCATGCGGTTTCACACAGCAGGAGGTCCCCTAAACCCTAAACCTTAAACCCTAATCTTCAAGCATTTACTCAAGAATCACTTCGTTCCCTAAACCCTTCCTCCCACTTCCGATACCCTACCCTTACCCTCCTGTGAACTTTCTGGGCCCCCGGAACCACTGCTGTGCGCGAGTGCTTGCGAGCGCATGCACGCGCCCCCACACACAATGCTGCCTGAGTACGACACGCCACCTGAGGGCACGGGGGTGCTGGGGGCGGCGATGGATGGGCAGCCGGGGGTACTTGCGTTGATGGGGGGGCAGGAAGATCACCACGCCCGCCAGATCCAAGCGGCTGCGGAGGCGGCGGAGAGGCTGCGCACGGGGGCTGAAAGGACGGCACGCCATGTCACGGAGGAATCAGGCTCCGTGTGGAACCCGGCTACAGCTGCTGCGATGGCACATGCGGGTTCGGCACTCCCCGCCGGGGCCCCGGATGTGGCGTCGGCCGCGGCCCTAGCAGCGGCTACTACGTCCCTGCCCGTGGATTCCTTTGCACCTCGGCCGGATGAGCGTGGCCAGACAGGCCGTCGCGAGCCTACAGAAACCCTAAACTCTCTTGGTGAGAGTCCGGGGAAGAAATCAAGGCGAGAGGACGGCTCCCCTCACTTTGGGGGTCCCCCTGTCGATGTTGCTAAGGCGCCTCCCCTGTCCTCTCCCGCTCATCACGCTCCCCCGCTTTTCCACGGGGAACATCCGCGAACAGTGCCGACGCCCGGCCCTCAGGTTTTTCATATGGAGGAGCCGCTGTGGGCCAGGGGGCTCCGGGGCCAGCTTGAAGGCCTCCATGCGAAGCAGGACACGGCCCTTGCTCAACTAGCGGGGACGAACCGCGATGTCCGAAGATTGGGTGAGCAGTTGTCTGGCATGGAGCTGCGGGTGGAGGGGCAGGATGCGCGTTTGGAGCGAGCGGAGGGCCGGATTGGGGAGCTCGAACAGGAGGTGCAGAAGCTTCGTGAGCGGTCTGTCAGTCCCTCCCCCTCCATGATGCGCTCTTCCTCCCCGCGTTTCTCAGCGACTGGGTCCGTCATGTCGGAGCGCACGCAGGTAGATGACTTCCAGATTGTGGTGGGTGGGTGGGAGGATGCCAAAAGGCAGGAGATTGAGGGAGAAGTGACCAATATGTTCCAAAGTGCCCAGGCAGAGGCCTTGCTGAAGCGCATTCATGTTCCCTACGCCAGGTCTAGGTACTGTAGGGTTGAACTTCTGTACCCAGACCCCAACCCCAGAGCAAAGCGAGACCTGCAGAGCACAGTTTTACACACGTTGCGGCGTGAGGTTGCGCAGGGTAGTCGGCTGCCTCAGCAAGAGCATGTGAAGCTGTGGGTCAAACGTAACCGGGGCCCTGAGGAGCGGGCCAAGATTCGGGCTATTGTATCCATGAAGGCCGTGGCCTTGGACTACGTCCCCGAGGGGGACGTCGACTTTGATTGGGCGGGGCGACTGTGGGTAAAGGGGCGGGAGGTGCTCTACCACGTGGGGCGCAAACCACCTGACCAGGGGGCGATCATGCTGCAGAATGGGCGAGGGGACGACACGGGGTGGTATGTAGTTTCGGACCTTTTCGCGAATCTGCTGGGCACCACCGTGGCCGTTCTGAAGAGTCGCATGGACATGACGGATGAGTGACTCGGGAGAACTGCTGGCCGCGGCCTGCGGGGCGGGGCCAGCGCGAAGCCCGTTAGGGAGCTGATGTGCATGTCTTGGAATCTGCATGGCAAGTCTCTTGGTTCTCTGCATGAACTCATGCAAGGGATGTGCCAGGCTCCGGATGTTCTCCTCCTACAGGAGCTGGGAGGACACTTGGGCCTTTCCCCAGGTACAGTTGTGACAGATCAGTGGCAGCTGAATAAGGTAGAGTACATCGTCTATGTACTAAACACGGAGGCCAGTTTTAGATGTGTAGCCTGCGCCATTCGTCAGGAGCTCGTGCGTGCAGCCCCAGTTACCATACCGCACCCCTTTGGCCTGTTAGTCAAAATAGCTGACAGGACCCATCAGCGACTTTTCGGTACATTGCACTTTCCTCACGAACAACGTGAGGATTCTTTGGACACCTGGGCCCGTGGGGCCCATTCCCTGCATGAATCTTTGCTCTCTCTCTCTCGCCTCACGATCTGGTTGTTTTAGGGTGTGATCTTAACCAGGATGTGCACGCGCCGATTGACACTTTCCCGGGCATGGCGCATGTGCGAGGGGTGCTCCGCATATGTGGTCTTGCGACCTCTCCACCCCTAGGACCTACTTGGCATGCCAGAGGACTTGCGTCTCCCATAGACTGCTGGCTGTTTAGGGCGGAAGCGCAGCAGTCGCACTGCTGGAAGAGCCCGGATATGAGGGAGGCTCTCCCCTCGGACCATGACCCTATCTTCCTTAGGCTCCATGACTCCCGGGCGTATTTCCATCGCACGTGGCGGCCTCAGGACCGAACAGGACACTGGACCTATAATGAATCCAAGTTGCAAGCGCTGCTGCATGACGCTCAGTTGGAATTCACGCAGGAGAATTTGGAAACTGCATGTGCTGCATGTGCCACGCGACCCTTAAATCTGAGGTATAGAGATTCGGACTTCGTCAAGACCTTAATACGGCAACGAAGAAACAGCACGAATATTCGTGAGCGCGCCAGCTTGATGGAACAAGTGCGGCAGCAGCGGGGTCAGGATAAACTGGACCATAAGCTGCAGCTCTGGGAGAGGGCCAAAGGGGGGGATCGGCAAGCCATCTCGTTTCTGCGTCGTAGTGCTGCGGGGGCCTCCTATGAAGGAGGCTATATAGCTGCCCGGGGAGGGGCTGATGCCGCAGCAGAAGAGCTTCAAGAGTTCTACCGACGTAAGTATGCCCGACAAGAACCTGCTCCCCCCCCCGCCTCAAAGGTTGCGGCGCTCTCAGTCACCCCAGATGTTCGGTTGCCGGACCCTATTACTCAAGAGGACTTGGTTGCTTGCATACAGGGCATGAAACGCCGCACCAGCTGCGGCTTGGATGGAGTGTCGTACGAGGCTCTCCTGTCCATAGTAGTTGCGGACCCTCACCAACGTTTGCCTAGGTACCTCACAGACATATTGCACGGAACCAGGCCGCTTCCTCGGACGTGGTCGCAGGGCAAAGTCACGCTCATGCCCAAGATCAAATCCCCCCAGGGGCCCAAAGATCTTCGCCCAATTTGTTTGACCCCCTGTCTGGGAAAGATTTTTGGGAAGCTGCTCATGCGTCGTGTCAGCTCCAAGGCCCCACCGTACCGGGCAGGGCAGATGGGGTGCCGGGCGGGGTCGCAAGCTCTGGACGGTGTGGCTGCTGCCCATATTGTGCTGCAGCAACTTCGCGCGCGGGGACGGGCGGGGCCCTGCGTTGCGAAACTAGATATCCAGGCCGCGTTTGATTCCATCTCGCACCACGCGGTTCTGAATTGGCTTCTCTTGGGTGAGGCCTCGCGAGAAAAAGAGCTGCTGTGGCAGCTTATCAGCACCTCGGGGGTGCAGATGGGCATAGGCCATAGGAGGTGGAAGCATGAACTTGGCCGGGGCCTCTTGCAGGGAACCACATTCAGTGCAGACATCTTTTCCAGGGTGCTCGACTGGTATATGGGGGGCTTGCTTGTTCAGTGGGGACGGAAGTATGAGGACTGGACTACGCGAGTTGGCCGTTTGTGTCATCTGCTTCTATATGCGGATGACCTTCTAATTTTTGCAGACACCCCGCAAGATCTTCAGGCCAAGGTTCAGGATGTGGTGGACTGCTTGAGTGCCATAGGCCTGCAGCCCAATCTTTCCAAGTCCAAGGTCTTGGCAGCTCCGGGGGGGGGAGCGGCGCCGGCTGTATGGTTGCGAGGTCAGGTGACCCCTCTGCCGGCCGAGGAACATATGCTGTATTTGGGAGTGCCCATGTCCCTTGTTCCAAATGCCGAGGTCATGCTGTCGCATGTCCTGCGGAAGACGTCTCACACGTACCATGCTTTTCGATCTCTGCTACGATCCCCGCACACCCCAACGCGCGAAGCTTCTTCTGTTTGACGCCTATATCTCAGCCAAGTGGCTCTGGGCCGCGCCGGTCATGTGGCCAACCCAGCGGCTGCTTCGCAGGGTGGCAGCTCTGCAGAATACCTTCTTGATGGGCCCGCTGGGTCTGGCATGCGACTACACTCTAGGCTGGCTAGCGGATGAGATGGTGCGCCGACGGGCTGTCAAGGAAACCTGCCTGCGTTTGCAGGGGACGGACTGGGCGCGCACTTGGGTTCTTCGCCTTTGGGGGTACTGGGGGCACGTCAGCCGTAGCACACAGGACCTTCCGATAGTGCATATGTTTCGCACATGCCATTTTGCGGCGGTCGCCACAGGTTCGGTGCGGGCATCTTGGGTACAGGAGACCATCCCCAGAAAGTTGCAAAGGGCGTACGGAGGCTTTCGGAGGGCGAGCTGGGCGCATGCCTGGGAGCTGCTGGCGTTCCGGCGGTCCGAGTGGACAGCGGCGGCGGAGATCTGGGCACATTGGTGGGTGCCTCGAAAACCCAGGGATCACCCCGACAGCTTCGCTTATAGGCAACTAGTCGTAGTACAAGATGGTGTGGTTTCTCTCCGCCCCTCCAGGTCTCCCCCGGAAGAACCCTACCGACGGACAACGATCCATGTCTCTCGGTACAACCACGCTGAGGGGGAGCAAGGCTGGGTGCTCTGGGTGTCGGAGCAGGCTGGAGTAGTGACGGTCGACATAGCCCCTCCTAAAGCTCCCCTGTCACAGCACACATGGATGCAAGCAAATCAGCCAGCTCGCTCCTCAGCCATGCACACGCAAGTAGACAAGTGGGCCTTTGTGTACAAGTGCCGGCAGACCCTGCATTATGCCACGGATGTCACTGTGGTTGTGCCATCCGCGTGGTTCATGCGCTGTATGCTGCAGCAGACGGCGTCCTTGGTGGACTGGACTCATGTCATGCATTTTGCTAGGCTAGACACACAAGTGCCGCGGCTTCTGGAGGAATGTCGTACGTACCCCAAGAAGATCCCGAAGGTCTTCCAAGCAGCACTGACGTGCGGCCCTCAAACCTTCCCCGCAGGCATGAACCACTTGCTACGTGACCCGTCGGGCCTCAACGCTCAGTTCTTCCGGTAGGGACTCGCGCTGAGGCTAACAGGGGCTCGGCTCTCCGAGTCGGACGTTGCGTGACATCTGCGTGAGAGATGCGTGTTGGATGAGTGCCTGCACGCGTCCTGCGCGTTGTGCGGCGCAGCCTGCTCAGCATGGAATGCATGCACGTTCCCAAACTAAGCCCCATTAGCCTGCCCCGTCCCACGGCGCACGGAATTCACTGCGCGCGTTAGCAGTTGCATGCCTGCCGACACGCGTGCTGCGAGTTTTGAGCAGCCTGTTCAGCGTAGAATGCATGAGCCCTTTGCATGAATGCCTGCATGCAGACGTGCACATTTGCCATACCCCTAAGGCCCTAAGGTTCGATACCCTGCCCCGAACCACTGCTTTGACTGCAATTCCCGAGAATTCAATGCACGCATGCTCGTTGAGATTGTGTTTGCATGTTGCATGTCGCAGATACCTGCGGTACGCATGAACTTCAGTAACACAGTTTTATCCAATGCCTTCGGGCATCAGCTGGTGCACGTTGAGGGTGTTGGATGAGTCTGAGCCCCTGCTTTCAGGGGGGGCGAATCTGTCTGGTCTGGCCTAGCCGCCATGGCTGCGCCCATGTGCACGCAGGGGCCCATAAACAGTGCAGCGATGTGGGTCTTAGTGCCAAGGTTCCCCGGCTCTGAAACGGAGTTTCTGCAGCCCCCAAAGACACCAAAAAAAAAAAACACAAACTACCCTAAAGGCCCCTTCAAGTGCTTGCCAGCACGCTTGGCGTGACGATCATTGGTATGCTATAGCGGTTTGCAAAGTTTCGGTGTGTCAACGGTCAGGGGCATGTGGGGGGGGGGGGCGGGGCGCGCGTGGGAGGTGAGCACTAGGTTCCCCAAGTCTTATACGCCTGCGGCTTTACACCTTCCAGGACCAACACCCCCCCCCGGGCTGCGCATGCGTACGGGTTGAGCGGATGTGGGCGAGAGCGAAGACAGATCCACCCCCCCCCCCCCCCCGCAGCTTCAAGTGCTCGCCGGCACGCTTGGCGCGACAGTCGTCGGCATACTAGCGGCGGTCTACAAAGTCTCGGTGTATCCGCGGTCAGGAGCGGGGCGCGAGCGCGCGGGAGGTGAGCACTAGGCTTTGGTGGTTCCCCAAGTCTTATACGCCTGCGGCTTTACACCTTCCAGGACCAACACCCCCCCCCGGGCTGTGCATGCGTAACGGGTTGAGGGGATTCGGGCAAAAGCGAAGAAGCCCGAGTGTCTGTTGCTACGAGGGCAGGCCCGGACCTGCTGCCCCGCAATTCAATAGAAACTGACACCGAACAGCCCTGGCCCGATCATCTGCTAGTGTACTGTGGCCCTCGTCGCTTCTGTGTGAGAGATCCCCGCGCCTCGCCATGGAAAGCATGCTACCGCGTCACTTGGATGCGACCCCGGATGTACTCTGGACAACACTGGCCTCCCTCCGGGGTGGCGGTACCGCAGCAGCGCTTGTGACCCTGCTCTTCGGCTTCGGCACGCTGCTCTTCTATGGCGGTTCTCGCTGCCGCCGGGATGGCGCAGTGGATGCACAAGGGCAAAGTGGAGGAGGTGCCGCGGAGCCCACGCCTGGACCGGCCGCCCACCCGTTGGAGGAGCGGCTCGCCGCCCACACCAAGTCAGTGCTAGACCGGCTCAAGATGGTGCAGGACCTCCAGCTCACGGCCAACAGCAACCGGGTGGCGGACCACAAACAGCTCCTTGATCGCATGAACAAGACGGACCAGAAGATCCAGGAGCTGCGGGACAGAGTCGAGCAACTGACCCCCAAGGACTACACCACGCCTCTTGCAGACATCAAGACCAACCTGCTGGCGCTACACAAGGGGGTCAAGCAGGACATCACGGTCGTTCGGGGAGACACAGCGCAGCTGCTGGCCGCTGCGCAGGGCACCCAGGGCGCGCTGACCACTCTGCAGGCCAAGTTGGGGACGGTCACCGCGGTTCTCGATGCGCTGCCCGAGGACCTCCAACGCATGACCGCGCAGGACTCCGAGGCTGCCCAGAAGGCATTTACTACCGTGGGTGAGGTCAGTGACATGGTCTGGTCTCTGCAGGAAAGCCAGAAAGAGCTGCAAAACCTTTTGGAGGCAACCGCGACGGCGCCCCCGATGCAAGGCTCGGCGCCCACGCCGGGGGCCTCTATGCCGCCACCAGCCCCGGCGCCACGTGTGCCACATCCGAACGCGCCCGTCATCAGCTTGGCAGAGACAGTGCCTGGGCCGAACACCCCGCATCGCGGGCAGGCCTTAGTTCTGCTTCCAGGTGGTGGGCAACTCACCCTGGACGCCCAAACATTGGCGAGGTTGTGCTTCCATTGA